ACAAGAGAGGGGCTGGAAAAGAAGGGAACAATACTAGAGGAACTATTCCATGTGTCATTACACTTCACATGAATTTATGTGAAGGCGGGAAGTGGTACTAATGTGTCACGACCTCATCCTGCCCTAAACAGGATAGTAGTCATGACCGGCCAGTAGTGTTCGACTACCAAAGACTTGATAAGACAAGACTATAATCTTGGGGATTAAGCAAAATAACATGTTCATTATATTAATTGATATCCACTTAGAGTAGGTGCATAAGTAGGATGAGAATAAAACAAGCATACATTTTATTTAATTACTTGATATTTACATGTCCACACTACAAAAAGGAAAAGATACAACTACAAAAGTCATTCTTACAAAGACCACACCATAAAGACAACACTCTAGTTCCAAGCTACAAACTCTCCAAAAGACAAAATAAAGGAAAAGATTCTAGTGCGACTCCTCTTCATGTCCTTGGTCCACATCTTCACCTACATACACATAAAGGAGAGGGGTGAGCTATTGCTCAATGAATAGTAATAAAGTAAGGCGGTAAATGAATGAACACTGCAAGATTAACATTTTTTCAAAACAATATATATATATATACACTTGTACGAGACAAAGCATAGCTTGACTTGTAGACAAAATAAATAGTGATGAGCATTCAAGAAAAATAGGGGCTTAACCGGCCCGGGTATCGGCTAAATAAACACATAATGAGCTCAATAACACATGATTGGATACACCTCCAATTGTGGGTCAGGGTCCAAGAATGCCATCTAGGTAGATGATACAAAAGTATAGAATGTTCATTCATAGAAAAATATAATAAGCTTGTAATCATAATTAAGTTTGTCATTGAAAATATAATTTGTCAAACATAGCATTACTAAATTACTACTTAGAATGAGCTCCGTGAATAAGGGTTTAACCTCCTTAAGCTTGACCTATACAAAACAAGAACAAAACATTGAAACATTTGAAGAATCCTTATCTTTCTATATCAATTGGTCATGCTGTTAAACTTTAATTTTCTTTTCTATTTAAATATGCCTTAAGTGGATTTCTACTTAGGTTATCATTGGGCTTAGATGTCAAAACATATCTAAAAGTGTCCAAAGAAAAGAAGGAAATCAAGTGAAACAAGATGCAAAAACCATGTTGAAAAGGACCAATTGCTCGAGCGGTCCCTTCACCGCTTGAGTAGTGAATGAACCTTCACAGCATTTCAGGTCTGTAAAATTGCGCTTGAGCCACCCTTCAACCGCTTATGCGGTTAACTGACTTAGCCAAGTTTCAAGGCAGTCCACTCGAGCGGTGAGCTGCAGAGTAGACTCTGCAGTTCGCAACCTATTATGTTCCAAGTTGTTCTAGGACTTCCAAACCCACTTTTCAGGCTTTCAAATCCCAAATCTTGATCTATAACATTGTAATAATCATATATATGATGAAAGAATAATAAGAACTTATTATTATACATGAATTTAAGGATTTAACAAGTAATAGATAATTTAGTTCAAGTTTCTCCACCTTTTAAATTCTTTTCTTTTATTCAACAACTTCAATCCTTCAAAACTAAGTTCTAAAACTTCTAAATCATGAATGCAAGGTGTAGGTTCATATCATAATACTTGTCTTACTCAAATCTTACATGAAACTAGTTCAAAACATCGGTTTCCTTTGATTTCCTCAAACTCTTTCCTAGTTTCCAAATTTTCCTAATTTCTTCCTATTTCAATCTTCCAAAACATATTCCTAATCAATTTTTGGTTATGTTTTGATATAAGAATATGGAAGAGAGTTGAGCTTCTTACCTTGTAGTGATTTTCTTGGAATTTCTAAACTTGAATCTTTAGCTCTTTTGAATTTCCTTCCCCTTTTCTCTTTTTTCTCTTTTCTCCCTTTTTTCTTCTCCCTCCTCTCATTTTCTCTCAATTGTTCCTGAATTCTTCAGTAAGTATCTTACTTATTTGGATAGAGGCAAGAGGTTTTATATGGTGTAGATGGGGCAAAAGTGATAGATTCTCTTAATTGGCTAGTTTCCTTATTTTAGCCTAGTTGACCAAGTTTAAAACTAAATAATCCAATCTTATCCTAATTAATCTCATGTTATTTTAGCCTAGGGATATCATATGATTCTCAAATGCCAATCTAAACCATCCCCTAACTTCAAGCATATAAAAAGCAATATTTCTAAGTTTAGGTCTCTAAACTAACTTCTCATTCTCCTATACTTCCATCAACTTCTAGTTCAAGCAAATAAATACTAAACATGAGATTAACATGCATGAATGTCATGATATGCCTATGTATGAAGTCTCGGGTGTCACACTCTTCCCCCCTTAGGAAGTTTGGTCCTCCAAACTTGTCTTACCTGAGCTCGAAAACAAATTGGTATCTCATTCTCATTTCATCTTCTTTTTCCATGTAGTATCCCTCCCATAATGTTCCTGTCATTCGACCTTTACCATCGGTATTACTTTGTTTCAAAGTTGCTTTACTTGACGATCAATGATTTGAATGGGTTGTTCTTTATACTCTAAATTTTCATCAATGACCAGTCTTTGGTAATCAATCACATGGGTAGGATCCTGGGTATAATCTCATACTATCGAAATATGAAACACATTGTGCACTTGTTCTTTTTTTGGTGGTAATGCAATCCGGTAAGCCACTAGGCTGATTTTCTCCAAAATTTCAAACGGTCTAATATAATGTGGAGCTAATTTTCATTTCTTTCCAAATCGTGTTTGGCCCTTTATTGGAGTAACTTTCAAAAATATATGGTACCTAACTTCGAATTCCACATTTCTCCTTCTTGCATTTGCATAGCTCTTTTGGCGACTCTAGGCAGTTTTAATTCATTGTTGGATAACCTTGATCTTTTCAGTAGTAAGTTGAATAATCTCGGGCCCCAATATTGCTTGATCTCCTACCTCTGCCCAACAAATGGGTACGTTTCCTTACATGTAATGCCTCATAAGGTGCCATGTCAATGCTTGCTTGAAAACTGTTGTTGTAGGCGAATTCCACCAATGGCAAATGAATTTCCCAATTTCCCTTGAAATCCAAGACACATAAACAAAGCATATTCTCTAGAGTTTGTATAGTTCTTTCCGACTGTCCATCTGTTTGTGGATGGAAAGCAGTGCTAATTTTCAATTCTGTTCCCATTGCTTTTTGCAAACTTTGCTAAAATCTGGATACAAACTTGGAATATCTATCCGATATAATGGAAACAGGCACACCATGAAGTCTAATAATCTCGTTTATGTACAAAGTAGCAAGTTTGTCTGTGTTATAAAAAGATTTCACAGACAAGAAATGAGTAGACTTGGTCAGTCTGCCAACAATGACCCAAACATAGACTTGGTTACTAACTCCACCTCTAACTTATACAAGTCGCGTAAGATATCTTCTTGCTTGGTAAGTAGACATGTCAAATTCTCCATGGATTTCCGACTAAGAGCATCTGCTACAGTGTTTGTTTTGCCATGATGATATTAAATTTGTAAATCATAATCTTTCATCAACTCAAGCCACCTCCTCTGTCTCATATTGAGTTCTTTTTGTGTAAACAAATATTTCAAACTTTTGTGATCAGTAAATATCTCATATGAAGCCCTGTACAAATAATGACGCCATATTTTCAATGCAAAGACAACGGCTACCAATTCTAGATCATGCATTGGGTAATTCTTCTCATGTGGCTTCAGATGGCATGAAGCATAGGCAATGACCCTATTGTTCTGCATCAGAACACAACCTAATCCTCTATGCGACACATCACTGTAGATCACAAACCCTTTTGTACTGGTTGGCAATACAAGACCTGGTGCCGAAATCAATCTAGTCTTGAGCTCTATGTATACTGAATCTCTTTCTTCTATCCACTCAAATGGCACCTCTTTTCGTGTTAATTGAGTAAATGGCACTGCTATCTTGGAAAAATCCTTGACAAACCTTTTATAGTAACCTGCCAAACTAAGGAAACTGCGAACTTCTGTTATAGTTGTCGGTCTTGGCCAATTCATTATTGCTTCAATATTTTGTGGATCAACTGAAATTCCCCCCCTTATTAATCACATGTCCCAAAAATGTTACACTAGGCAGTCAAAACTCACACTTCTTCAACTTTCTATACAACCTTTTGTCTCTAAGAATTTGAAGGGTCAATCTCAAGTGTTGTTCATGTTCCTCTATACTTTTAGAGTAAATAAGAATATCATCAATAAAGAGTACAACAAATGCATCCAAATAAGGCTTAAAAACTCTGTTCATTAAATCCATAAATGTCACAGATGCATTGGTAACTCCGAAAGGCATAACTAAGAATTTGTAGTAGCTATACCTTATTCTGAAAGTTGTCTTCTCTATATCTTCTACCTTGACCTTGAGCTGATGGTAGCCCAATCTAAGATCTATCTTGGAAAAGACTTGTGACCCTTGTAATTGATCAAATAAGTTATCAATCCTGGGCAGTGGGTATTTATTCTTGATAGTCACTTTATTTAGCTCCCTGTAATCAATACATAGACGTAGTGTCCCATCCTTCTTTTTGACAAACAACATTGGTGCACTCCATGGCGACGTGCTGGGTCTGATAAAACCTTAATCTAGTAAGTCTTGCAATTGAATTTTCAATTCCTTAAATTATGTGGGTAACATTCTATAAGGAGCCTTGGAGATAGGTTGCGTTTCTAGTATCACATCAATAGTGAACTCATCTTTCTATCAATTAAATTGCCTGGCAATTCTTCAAGAAATACATCTGAAAATTCTCGCACCACTGGGATGCTATCCAAACCAACATTGAATTCTTGAACTATCAAAACACTACACAAATATCCTCAACACCCTTTCCTGAGTAACCGATTAGCCTTCAAGGATGAAACAAGATACGATGGGGGTACTACTCCATTTCCTTGAAAAGAAAATTCTTCCTGATTTGGTGGTTGGAACGTGACACACTTTGATACGCAATCAATAGTAGCATGATTTGTTGATAGTCAATCTATACCCAAAATTACATCGAAGTGCTCCATATCAATTGGTAGTAAATCTATAGTCAAACTAGCACTCCCAACTACTATATCACCATCTTGGTAAATAAATGTACAAATCATGGATTCACCTGACGATGTAGACATTAACAACAAATATTCCAAAGGTTCTAGCTTCTTATCCAGTTTATTCACAAACTTCCTAGATATAAATGAATGTGTGGAACCTGAATCTATCAGAGCATAAGCATCTCGAGTACAAATTGAGAGTGTACCAGACACCACTGTTTCAGTATTCCGAGCTTCACCTGGGATAAGCGCAAAGACTCTGCCTTGTGTCATTGGTTCCTTTTCGGTAGTAGCCTTTGTATTTGGTTTCTTAACTGACCCAGATGAACTGCTTGCACCCTTTTGCTTGGCCTTAGGGCAGTCTTTGACTTGGTGTCACATTTGTCCACATAAAAACAAGCTCCCATAGCTTGACGGCATACCCCAGAATGATTCTTACCGTATTCTTGGCATGTTGGTATAGTTTGATTATCCTTATTTGAATTGCTAGTACTTCTCGTGTTTGACCTTTTAGTTGGTGGATTTCTTGGCCCTTTCTTAACACCAAAACCTTATTTATTGTGGAACCATTCCTTCGATTGTTGTTTGTCTTTGGCATTTTGTTCAACTATCAGTGCTTTATCTAGAACTTCTACGTATGTTGGCAATTGAAATAGGTTCACCTTATCTCTGATTGGTCCTCTCAATCTTTCCTTAAACTTTTTGGTTTTGTTGTAGTCTTTATTCACCATGTGTGGAGTGAACCTTGCCAATTCTGTAAACTTTGCATCATAATCCGAAATAGTACCTTTTCATTGCTTTAATGCTTGGAACTCAATAGCTTTTCTATCCATGACAGATTGAGGAAAATACTTGTTGTAGAAAACTGCCAGAAAACGATTCCAAGTAGTACCTTCATATTGACCCTTCACTAACAGCAACCACTCGTATGCCTCTTCTGCTAAAGTCAATGTAGCAAGTGCTACCTTTTGCATCTTAGTACAAGGAAAAACTTCAAAAAATTTCTCAGTGTCTAATAACCAAGCCTATGCCTTCAATGGATCTATGTTTCCTTCAAATTGGGTTGGTTTCATTTTCTTATAGTTTCGAATTAAGGCCATTGTTCCTTGATCAGGAAAATCCATTTGCAATGGAGTTTGTTGTCGCGATAGTTGTTGCTGCTATTGTAGTGGTTACGATTTCGACGATTGCTGCTGTGGTTGTTATTGTTATTGTTGTTGTTGTTGTCGTCCTTGTTGTTGTTGTTGTTCTCTTTGATCTCTCTGTCTCATAGCCTCTGCAACACTCTTCATCAATTGTTCTAGACGGTCTAGCCGGCTAGCAAAGGATTCTCCTCTTTTCCTAACCATAATGTTATGCACATGGAACATGAATTAAACCTTTATAGATATGCATGTGATGCTTTAACTAATATGTAAAATGCACATCTCATCACAAGCACTCATCATGAATGCATTCCTAAAGCTTTTCTAGGGAATCCTATGCTCTGAAGGATAAGTGTGTGTGTGTGTGTGTGTGCAATCTTGTGCTCTTATACCACTCTAGTCATGACCCTATTCCACCCCAAACAGGATAGTAGTTATAACCGACCAGTAGTGTTTGACTACCAAAGGCCTGACAAGACAAGGCGAGACTGGACTATAATCTTAGGGCTTAGGCAAAATAACTTGTTCATTATATTAATTGATATCCATTCAGAGCAACTACATAAGTAGGATGAGAATAAAACAAGCATACATTTTATTTAGTTACTTGATATTTACATGTCCAAACTACAAAAAAGAAAAGATACAACTACAAAAGCCATTCTTACAAAGACCAAATTATAAAGACAACACTCTAGTTCCAAGCTACAAACTCTCTGAAAGACAAAATAAAGGAAAATATTCTAGTGCGACTCATCTTCGTGTCCTTGGTCCACATCTTTACCCAGATACATATAAGGGAGAGGGGTGAGCTATTGCCCAGTGAATAGAGTAATAAAGTAAGACGATAAATGAATGAACATTGCAAGCTTTTCAAACATTCTTTCAAAATAATACAAATATATATATATATATATATATATATACTTGTATAAGACAGAGCATAACTTGACTTGCAGACAAAATACATAGTGATGAGCATTCAAGAAAAATAGGGGTTTAACTAGCCCAGGTACTGGCTAAACAAAACATGATGAACTCGGCCATAACACATGATTGGATGTACCCCCAATTGTGGGTCAGGGTCCAAGAATGCCATCTAGGTAGATGACACAAAAGTATAGAATGTTCATTCATAGAAAAATATTATAAGCATGTAAACAAAATTAAGTTTGGCATTGAAAACATAAATTGTCAAACATAGTTTTACTAAATTACTACTCACAATGAGCTCTTTCAATAAGGGTTTAACCTCCTCAACCTTGACCTATACAAAACAAGAACAAAACATTGAAACATTTGAATAATTCTTATCTTCCTATATCAATTAGTCATGCTGTTAAACTTTAATTTTCTTTTCTATTTAAATATGCTTTAAATGGGTTTCTACTTATGTTATCGTTGGGCCTAGATGTCAAAACATACCTAAAACTGTCCAAAGAAAAGAAGGAAATCAAGTGGAAGCTGAAAAGGACCAGTCCGCTCGAGCGATCCCTTCTATCATGACCCGAACCCACCCTTAGAGGTTTGGATCATAATCGGCCAGTAATCATGAGATTACCTATGGCCTCAGACAGAAGTCAATTCATATTCAGTTATATGAGGCCAGAAGCGGAAGCAGAAATGTAAATTTTGTCCGATGTGTTGTGCATACATGGCATGTCAATGACATCTCATCTATATTAATAACTTACATTCATTCATTCCTAAGAAGTCTCACATGACCAAGATCATATATATGTCATTAACATACAAATACCAAACTCATATACAGATGCGGTCAAGCATGACGAACAGAAGAAAACAGAAAATCAAAAGACAAAAGCCTCGCGTATGAGGTATTCTTAGCTAACTCCACAAAAACTTAGTATTCCTTCACAGGTTCACTAGGGCTGGGGTTGGACATCCTGCTGTTGGCCTACATACATATACATAAACAGAGTGAACGAAAGCCTAATGAATAACGTCAGAGTAAGGAGGTTATATGAATAAGTTCTCATACTTGAATAAAATCATTCTCATAAAAATTTCGTATCATAACGGAACGACCTTGGGTCCAATACATGACAAAACGACCTTGGGTCTAATATAAACCGAGATTCAGGACAGAAATAGATCTTACTTATCAAAATGACCTCAGGTCCAATCAATTACAGTTGTATAATGGCCATTGGGTCAATAGATAACAGATATTCAAACTTATTAAATAATCGAAACGACCTTGGGTCCATTTTGTCAGATATACAGAATGACCTTAGGTCCATTTTACATATTCATGCCACATCAATCACATTTACAAATCTCATGTTGATCAGATAGATAAAAACTCATTCACACTTGCAAAATCATAAGTTCGGAAAGCATACCACAGTAGGATATATAGAAAATAGAGTAACTAAGAAAATATCTTTACTAAGATATTACACACAGTAATTTAGTTACTGACACGTCCTCGCGGATGGTCCTACACAATTCATAAACATACACACATTGAATCACATTGCTTAACCGGATTGTTCTTTAACTTATTCAATTCTCTTAGGCTTCTTCCTAACTCTTTAATTCATTTAAGATGTTCAATTCATGCCTAAGAATGCTCAGAAGGGAACGAGGATGCATACGTTAACAGAGTATGTTTTTCCAAAATTTCTAGAAACATAGCACTTCACTTGAGTGCAAAGTTGGTTGCTCAAACGAACCACTTAATCTGTAAAAGTATTGGATGGTCCGAACCTAGGCTTAATGTTCACTCAGGCCAAGGTGCAAAATAAAAAGGCGGTCGCTCGAGCGATGACTTGATCGCTTGAGCCAACTATAATTCTCTGCAAAACTTCTAGATGCATGAATTGCATGCTCGAGCGACAGAATGTTTGCTCGAGCGGTGAGGCAGAATTCTGTAATTTCCAGAATAGAGTTGAACTTCAAAACATGTGTTTTTCAAATCAAAAGCTTGCATGGCTTGGTCAAAACCTTGAAAACACTTAAAAAACTCTTCCAAGAACATGAAAACAAAGCCAATTGGAAAATTAAAGCTCAAAGCTTCATGAATTCAAACTTAATTGATCATGCATGTCACCTTTAACTTCAAATTCCTTTCCAAAGTTTACAAAACATGCAGCTTAGCTTCAAAACTTTGTGACTCATGCATGCATGTACAACTCATCTTCTAAATTCAACATGGAAGTCAAAATCATGCTGAAAAATGATGAAACTCAACAAAACTATGGATGCATGTATGAATTGACTTTGATTTCAACAATCTTAACTCAATTCTTGTATTCAATTACATAATCCTCTTGAATTCACATATTAAATGACTAAAGTCACGAATTAGGGTTCAAAAGCTTACCTAAGGTCTTCAATTGAGCTTAATTTAGCAAATTCTTGAGTTCTCCTACACAATTCACCAATCTCTTTGTCAAATTCTCCAAGTTTAACCCTCTCTCTCTCTCTCTCTCTCCCTCCCTCCCTCTAGAGCTCTCTACAAAATTTTGAGTTCAAATGAGCTAATTCTCTTATCTTATACCCTGTATATACTTGTGATTAGCTTAGCCTAGCCTAATTAAGCAATCTTAAGATTAACTAATCCCAATTAATTCTAATTAATTTAATCTGAATCAAATTTTAATCAAACTTTTCATTAGTTTTTAAAAATTATGCTAATCTCAATAAACTAACCAATTTCGGTTTCTGTCACCATTAAGGCCTTTAATTTCTAGATTAATACAGAATTTATAACATATATCCCTACAATCAACAGATGTGAAGTCAAAAACCACATTAGATAATTAACATTCAAATTCACACCTAGCACATAAGCACATGTATAATTAAAGAATTAAAAGCATAATACTTGATGGGGTTGTCACAATCTTCCCCTTTTATCCCCTTTAAGAAGTTTGGTCCTCTAAACTTGTGTTACCTTGAGTCGGAAATAACTAGGGTACCTTTCCCTCATTTCATCTTTTTTTCCCCAAGTCTCTTACGTGCCATAGTGTTCCTTCCATTCCATTTTTACCATAGGAATCGATTTGTTTCTCAACTGCTTGACTTATCAATCAATAATTTGAATTGGATTTTCTTCATAGATCATATCATCATCAAGTTCTATCTGGTGATAATCTATAACATGGAATGGATCCATAAGATAACCACCAAGCATTGACACATGAAACACATTGTGCATTTGTTCCATTCCTAGCGGTAAAGCAATTTGGTATGCAATCGGACCAAGCCTTTCCAGAATCTAAAACGACCCAACGTATTGAGGAGATAATTTGTCTTTCTGGCCAAAGCTCAATTAACCTTTCATCGGAAGCACACGAGTGAACACGTGATCACTAGCTTCATACTCAAGAGCCCTTCTTCTATGATCGGCATAACTCTTTTGTCAGTTTTGTGCTGTTTTGAGCCTTTGCTGAATGTCTTTAATATTTTCGATGGTTGCTTGCACAATCTCGAGTCCAAGCAAGACCCTATCCCCAACTTCAGTCCAATACATCGAAGATCTATATTTCCTTCTGTACAAGGCTTATATGGTGCCATGCCAATGCTAGAGTAAAAACTATTATTGTATGCAAATTCCGCCAGTGGCAAATAAGTTTCCTAACTCCCTTGAAAGTCTAGAGCACACATTCGGAGCATATCCTCTAAAGGCTGAATAGTTCTTTCTGATTGCCCATCAGTTTGAGGATGGAATGCGTACTAAACCTCAATTTTGTTCCCATTGCTCTTTGAAGGCTTTTCCAGAATTTAGACACAAATTTTGGATCTCTATTTGGAATAATAGATACCAGTACACCATGTAAATGAACAATTTCATCAATGTA